AAATCTAGAGAAATTAGGCTTCAGAGTCACTTTTCGAATTTGATTTTCCGCCAGTAAGATAAATAAACTACGTAGATCTGGCAGCTGTGGCCTTTCTCCGTTGTCACGTTGTAAGCTTCGTTAGAAGCAGTACGCAGATAGTAAGCGGGACGGTTACAGGATATCCTCGCAGTTTAATAATAAGTTGGAATTCAAGGAAAATTCGGGATCCTCTTTTCTACAACATTTTTGCAGACGCCTGTAAATTGAGAGACCTGCTCAAAAAGTTTATCAGCTGTTTACCCAAGTTTGAGCTTGAAGTTACTTACAGTCCGCTCTGAAATCCATTAAATAATAATCAAAAATTAGGATGAAATTCTACGCAGCAAAAAGCCGATGCATTTTAAATTTTCAAACCTCTACTATAGCAAATTAATATTCATTCTAGAAGTGAAGCCATATGACAACCTATTAGTAATCACTTTATGTCTGAGAAATAGGAAAAGGTAAGCCGACGAATCCCAATACTGCGGTAGGTGAATATCTTTCAAATGAGTAGTTAAGACTTCATTGTTGGTCATAAAATAAAAGAGAATAAAAGAAAAAACCAATAAACAATGATAGATATTAGCTCACATATGGTTGTAATTAGTTATGCACCGTTTCTAACACCGGTAAATCTATGAGGTACTGAAATGGTCAGATTAGTTATAGTGGTTTGCTCCTTGTAATTATCATGCACAAAGTCAAGCTGTTCTTGCACTGAGAGGTTATTCTCGGCCTTGCGTTAGTGCCTTTCCATGAGCACGAAGACTTTTCCCGTAGGATTCTGGTCCGGGCTATTCGCTTGGATATAATTTGTTTCGTGACGTCAACATAGGCGTCCGAAGAATAAAATCTATTAAACAGCTTTGCTAAAATCATGGTTTCATCGAGACCATAACAGGTGTGTTGTCCTCTTAAATTATGACGTCCATTCAATTTTAATTCTTGCCGCTAAACAGTCACCCGTCGCCTAACCGTCATTACTTAACTTTTCCTATGTGGTTATTTTAGCTGAGATTCCATAAACGCTGCTTCCGCTGCAAAGTTTGCTCCAAGTCACTTGATTCGACGAACACCTGCACCAACGAGAACGAAATTTACTGCAAAAGTAGGTCCGGTCGCATTCTTTTATTTGTTTAAAGCTGCTTTCCTGAAGAGTATATTTCGTACTAAGTTGAAGCATTTAACTGTAAAGTTATCTTCAAGACGATACCCTGTGATAATACTTAAGCACGCATGCATTATTCCAAGCAGGAACATTTTAAAATTGTGAAATCAGCCAGTCCAGTTGCCTTTATCCCCTTTCCGTTTACTTTCAATAACTTTTTCTTTAATTTTTACTGTTCCTGAAAATGGGCCTCATTTCTCGCAGCACAGAATATAGACGTTTTTATACTTACCTTCTCTTATTTTTTAAAGCTTGTTACGGCAAACAGTTTGGACCCAAAGGATTCGGTTTCGGCCAGGGTGCTGGCTGCTTGAACATGGGCTAGATATTTACCGATTCTTTTTTCGAGCATGGCCCCAAATCTAGCAACTTATCCTGCATCAACGAATGAGACTTTTATGCTTTTCATCCATCAAACGACTTCATTTTCTCCATCTTTCGTCATATTCCTAACTTAATTTTCTTGGACTCCTAGCCCGTTTATATCTCCGAAAAAAGAACTTTTATCAACCATAAACATCCTTGTTTTTGCTGAAGTATCCTAAGTTGGAGGGATATAAAGCTGATGACTGGGGGCAGCAGTTTGAAGGCACAACTTCCCGGCTAGATAGTTGCGCTGTAACCAAACCGTTCGTCTCAACAAAAGTTGGTGTTAGGTAGATGTACGTTTCTAAAAATGAAGTCTTTGTGAAACAACGAATTCTGAACTAAAATAAGTTTGAAACTCTGAGTTCTTAAACATGTGACAAAAGTAAATGAGGAATGATAGATCAAGCAATTCCGTTGTGAGTTGGCAGTTGAGCTGCCCTCTTCTGAGATAGGGAGTTAATAGGCGTTTACCCTGGGACACAGGTTATGTGCAAAGTGGGCTGGCCCTCTGTAGGACTTCCTGATACTGCACTACTGATGTCCAGGCTGACAGCGAAGATGGTTGACTATTCAGTCTTACCGCCCCTATCTTACAAATCTAAAGCGCGGTATCATCTGTTGAGGTCACAAAGGGGCATCAAGATGATCATTATTTGGACTGCCACTGCTGTGTGCACTCTTTGCTGTCTAAAACTTCTTG